CACTCCAGAGCGGAAAAATTAATTTCCTAGGGAACATCAGGAGCAGCAGGCAGTGAGACCCATTGTGTTACTGTCCCCACCTTGGGAGCAACAGCTCTTTTCCTCTTCAGCACTAGAGCTGCAAGTATCTTGTTAGCGTCACGTGAAATTAACAAGTCCCTTCCAGCCTGGCAGAGGTGAAGCTGAAAAATTACTCAGTGGTGTGGGTGGGCAAGAATGGGGAGGAGCAGGGCAGAAGGGAAGAGGGGATAAGCCCCAACCCCACACCCTGGCTGGAGCGGAGCAGGGTAAGCCCCGAGGGGATGGGTCTGGTTGCAAAGTGGGTGAGTGGACAATGAGCACCCACCTGTGGCTAAACTCCTGTTCCCAACACAGAATTTTTCTTTAAAATTAATCCTGTGGATAAATTCACACACACACTTCACAGGAAGGGATTTCCATTTTCTGCTCAGCAGAATACAACAACAGCTTTGATTGTATCAATATTTCACTGTGCTCTCCAATGACTATTGATTACACTTAATACCCATTTCACTGAACCATCTGTAGCAAATTCTATTTGGAACAGTAATATGCATTGAATAAACTTTTTTTAGTTATAAAAAACAAAGATTCTGACTATTAAATGAATAACTGGGATCTTTCAGGTACCCCAAAAGGAAGATTTGGATATAGCATGAAACACTGAAACTTATGATCAATTTTTAATTAAAATATCAACCAAAAAAACCTTCATATCAAAACAGTATGTGTTTTTCTTAGAATAAGGAAGTTGTGTGAGAATCAGGGTCTTTTCCACCTAACTCCAGCTCCCCGACCCTCCCCCCAAAATATATACCAGTTCTGACTTACATACAAATTCAACTTAAGAACAAACCTACAGTCCCTATCTTGTACGTAACCCGGGGACTGCCTGTATAGGGAATAGCATATGGTAGACTTGTACATAGTTTGATATTCTGGCACATTTTCAGTGCACAGGGAAGCATAGATTCCTAAGGTTGGAAGAGACCTCAGGAGGTCATCGAGTCCAGCCTCCTGCCCAAAGCAGGACCAACCCCAACTAAACCATCCCTGCCAGGGATTTGTCAAGCCAAGACTTAAAAACCTCTAGGGATGGAGCTTCCATCATCTCCCTAGGTAACCCATTCCAGTGCCTCACCCCTCTCCTAATGAAATAGTTTTTCCTAATATCCAGCCTAAATCTCCCCTACTGTAACACCTAACATGACAATAAAGAAACAGAGCAATAAGCTAACAGAATCCATAATGGTCCATGTCACGGTGGATGCAGCTATCCTTAGTGATGTTACATCAGGGATGAATGATATCTAGCACATGGGCCATGGGTGAAGCTGCTGCTTGGGGAGGCAAGCTCTCCACATCTGCTCTGCCCAAGCCCCATCCCAACTCTTCCCAAGTCCCACATCCTCCTCACTGTCTCCCTCTTCTCTTAACTCCTCATCCCTCATCACCCCTTCTAGCCAAATCTCTGATCCCAAATGTAGCAAATGACATTTGAAAAAAAACCCACCCACTCTTCTTACATTTTTTTCTAAAGAAAATAGAGCATGTTTTCCACTGAATGCCAAATTGTGAAGACAGTACATGCAGAGTGTACCTAATTAAAAGCACTACATTTGGGAATAAAAAATGTCAGACAGGTTTTTTGTTATACCCTGAAGTTTATCAGAGATTAAGTTGCAAAAACTTTTTAGTAAGAGCAAGTCAGCTATCCTGCTAAATATTTAAATATTATGGAGTACATGATGCACCTCTTCTCTGTTTTACATTTTCTTAATTAGTATTTCTGTGTTGATTTTATATTTTAAATTAACTTTAACGTCTTCATGAAGTGATCATTGCAGATTACTACATATTTTAATGTACTGAAACAAAGGCATTATTTTAAATGAATGAGTCAAAGTGGCTTAGTGTGTTCATAACTAAGTTCATTGCTTTTAGAAAAAAGAGAACACTGATTTATTTTGTGTGAGCTCCAGGTTTATAAAATGTCACCATATGTTTATTTTGAAAATATGTTTTCAAAGATTGTATGAATAACAATACAATAGCATATGGGACCAAACCTATTTGCTATATGCTGGTCCTATGAAAGCACATGACTACTTTGGTTCTCTAAGGGCACAGTAAGTAGAATTATAATTTATCCATATTTTTGGAGTCCTTATTCCTTAGAATATGACAGAGCTTGGAATGAGCAAGCTTAGACTGTTTTAAAGCTATTTTTGAAACATTAAAACTCTGGTGAAGTTTGGCTGAAGAACATATGAATCTGGTCATACAGAAGCAGATACGCCCTGCAAATAAGTGTTACTGCTATGACAAGTGGGTTGGCTTATGGCAGGGCTACTCAACCTTGGAGCCCCGGGGGCCAAAATGATACTCACAGCACATGCCAAGGGCGGCAACTACAGTATGGTTGCGTGTACATGCAAATATATATGCAAATAGCTTCTTTCACACTAATGAGCATGAATTCAAAGATTAAGGCAAGATTACACAGCACATAGGACCCATTTAAGTCAGTTCTGCTGATATTAATAAAATGCAATAGTTACCCGATTTCCACCCACATGACAGAATTTTAATGAGCAATGACAGTCTAAGAATTTAACTACTAAAACACATATCAACAGAAAACCATTATATTGACTACTTTTTTGTTTTGGCTTCTGTTGCCGGCAAGAGTGAGTTTCAGGTCCAACACTGGGTTCTCAAGTACGAAAAAAGCTACACAGGCATCTGTCAAACACAAGCAATTTATTTCCTGACAGCTATTAGCTGTCCCCCTTAACTAAAAGAACAACTTGATAGGAAAAGCAGCATTTCTTACATCCTTTCTGCTAGCTGGGGAACCCGTTTCGGCTGCGGATGAAGTGGGAGACTGTCTCAGCTTCTGCGGCACTAATTGCAGTGAGGTCCAAATTGCTGTGCTCTGGTGCAGCTTTAAATACTGTGTCTCTACCTTGTTTGTGGTAGTTTGGAAATTTCCAGGTGTTACTCATTGCTTATTACATTATGGCTCAGCTGTACTACTTGTTCTTTGACTTTGTTTACATGATCAGTACATTTAGGTAAACAAGATTGTTATGTTCCCTCCCTTATCTACAATTCATTCTTGCTAAAATGGCGTATGTTCCTAGAGGCTTGCTTCTGGCTCATCAGTGGGAGGGAAAGGCGGGGGGGGCTGGGGAAAGGGGGGGGGCCCTCTTGCACAAATGTATTTGCGCAAGAGGGTTTTTTCCCCGAACGGGAGCAGCATAGTATTTGCGCAAGAAAACTGACAATCTTACATTAGATCGTCAGTGTTCTTGCACAAATTCAAGCGGCAAGTGTAGACAGCTGGCAAGTTTTTCTGCAAAAGCGACTGCTTTTGTGGAAAAACTTGCCAGTCTAGATGCAGCCACTGTGTCTACCTTGTTTGGCAGTTTGAAAGTTTTCAGGGGTTACTCATTATTTGTTACAGTATGGCTCAGCTGTACTTCTTGTCCTTTGACTTTGTTTACATGATCAGTACATTTAGGTAAACAAGATTGTTATGTTCCCGTTCTTCTCTACAATTCATTCTGGCTACAACGGTGTATGTTCCTAGAGGCTTGCTTCTGGCTCATCAGTAGTAGGGATAGAAGGGGGAGGGAATGGAAAAGGATGGGGAATGCAGGCTTCATCACCCCTATACTTCACACATACAGAGTTCTTCCGCAGTTGACCCCTACAGCTTCCACCCACAGGCCACGTGTTGAACCCCATGTAAACCCAAACTGCACCACGGGCCGCAAACAAACAGGCCACAGGCCACATGTTGAGTAGCTCTGGCTTATGGTATATTCACCCTGCCCACCAGTAAGAAAGCTGATAAGAAATCCTTTGTGCTGCCTAAGGGGGTGGAATTTTTATTCACCTACTCCTAGCCCAACTCCCTGGTGGTCTACGCTGCACAACAGATTGAAAACATTGCAGTACAAAAACCCCACCGCTAAGATTGATAGCAAGAGCCTAGATTTATTTGGCAAGAAAGTATACACATCCGCAACACTCCTGCTTAGAATAGCAAATTACGCCGTGCATTTATCGAATCATAACTTTGATAATTATACTAAATTAACATTGCTCTTAGATCATCTCCCCAAATCAAAGAGGCCCATTTTGAAATCGGTCGTACAAGAGGGATATGTCTCCGCCAGAACGGGATTACAAATAGCAATGGATGTGATGGACACAGCAGCTTGGTCAATTGCTACTGTGGTGGTAATGAGACGGGCCTCTTATCTTCAGACGGCAGGAGTCCCTAGAGACCTGCAAAACAAAGTAGAGGACTTACCATTTGACAAAAACAAATTATTTGCCGAGAAGACAGACAGCGTGCTTCACTCCAGTAAGGACTCACATCCTACTTTACGCACCTTGGGGATGTACACCCCTCCGTACAGGAGACGATGTTACACCCCTTATCAGAGGCGTTATGACTATGGTTATAACTGACAACATTGGCAACATCAGCAATGGGGCTTTGACCAATCCCGTACACTACAAAGGCCTCAGAGACGCCTTAATCAAAATAATTGCATGCAACCTCAGCCTGCTAACAAGAAGCAGTTTTGACTCTTTTGTCGAGGGCATCCAAATAGTCACACACACCATTCAGAACCACCATACCACCCACGTTTTACCATCGACTCTGGTCCTTTTACCAGCAATGGGCCTCCATTACCACCGACAAGTGGGTCTTGGAGATAATACAATCTGGCTACACAATACCCTTTCTCTCCATCCCCCTCACTACTCCATCTACCCCGTCCCTTTTCAGGGACCCTTCTCATGAGAATCTGTTGCGCAACGAGGTCAACCACCTCCTTTCTATAGGAGGAGGAAAGAGTTCTAGACAAGTTCAAAGGAAGAGGGTTTTATTCTCACTATTTCCGCACACAAAAGAAGATGGGTAGATGGAAACAAATACTAGATCTCCGGAAGCTACACAGATATCCCCAAAAACAATGGTTCAAAAGAGTGACTCTTGTCTCTATAATACCTGCACTAGATCACAACTGGTTTGCTACCCTCGACCTTCAGGACATGTATTTTCATATCACAATCCATCCTGCCTGTGGCGGTGTCACGCTCTGTACAGCACCACTGGGCCCCCACCCCGCCTTCCGCC